CTGTCTGTCTGTCTGTCTGTCTGTCTGTCTGTCTGTCTGTCTGTCTGAATGAATGAATGAATGAACGGGGTTTTGGATTCAAAACTCAGCCCGACAACAACAGTGTAAAACTACAAAAATAAATAAATAAATTATTGATTTGCATCAGCAGTTGGGAGTCAGGATCCAGTTGCGGGGACAGTTTTTGCAGGCAGGTGGGTTGGGAGTCACCCTAGAGAAGAGTTTATGTTACCACAACCAGAGGGATGTCCCTGCCAGAGAGTCGTGCAGAGGGAGGCTTTAATTCTGTGAACAGCAGGGTAATCCAGGGTCATGGTCCTAAAGGTGAAGCAGGGGTCAAGCACAGAAAGCCAGAGTTCCAGTAACAAGTCCAAAGTGTCAAACTGTAATCCAGAAATCTGTAGGCAGAATGAGCAGTTGAAATGAGGGTCAGACAGGCAGAACACAGTCCGATGAGGATCAGGCAGAACAACAAAGTCCATGCTCAATAATCCTGGTATACAATCCAACATTTTTCATTCAGGTCATCTGGACAGTTTCTTTTTTTTTGTGCTGAAAAGTTTTGCCTTCGAAGCCTTCCGGATCGAAGGCAAAACGTTTCAGCACAAAAGAAGAAACTGTCCAGATGACCTGAATGAAAAATGTTGGATCAGGCAGAACAGTAAATCCTATACGAGGTGTGAGGTTGAAATCTGAAGAACAAGGCATGAGGTTGAGACGAGATGTCAGGAGTGAAACAAAATGGCTGGACATCAGTTTGCATGTTCTTCTTGTGCTTGAGTGGGTTTTCTCCGGGTACACCGGTTTCCTCCCACATACCTAAAACATGTATCTTAGACTGCCTTCAGGCCCAGGCCTCCCTTGCAAAAGAGATCTGTGATCTCAATGGGATTTGCCTGGTTAAATAAAGGTTAATAAGAATAAATCAGAAACCATGAAAGGTACGATAATCTGGCATATTTGAGTGGTGAGAGGAGTTCTTAAATATGGATCAGAACACATGCAGTGAATCAGGGCTGATGAGCTGAAAGTTCAGAGTGGGCGTGGCAGAATGACAGAGCAGCAGATCATGGCATGAAGAGGCAGAAACATGACATAGCCTCACCCTTAAGGTTCGGCTCCTGATGGACCTCTGTGCTAACTTGAATGAACCAGGTGGGTGGAGGGGGTCCAGAGGAGGTTAAGACTATAGGCCTGAAAAGGAATTTGAATTTGGATATATGACTGGTGGGGCAGAGCTTAATAGCAGGTCTTAATAATGTCATGCAACCCCGGGCAGCTGGAAGGCCGTCCAGCAGGTGGCAACATCTCAGGTGGGCAGCTGGGAGGTGCAAGTGTCACCCTTCATCCTCCATTCTCTCATATGCTACACATCCAACGAATACGTTCTTGGAATTTAATTTAAATCTGGCTCATGAGATAAATTTCTAACAGACAGACAGATAAAACACACAGGCAGGCAAAAACATGATCTGTCTTTTGGCTGTGGACATAACTAATTCACATTTTTATATGACAATTGTAGATTTTAATTTACATAAACAGTAGATTTTAATTTACATTAAATTGTTGCAACTCACAGGAAACATTGCTTATTTTTCTATAACTTGAAAAATAAGCAATGGAACATATTCCTTTTTGTTGTAAATGGACTGTACTTATATAGTTCCTTTCTATCTTATCGAGATACTCAGAGCTCTTTATAACACAACCTGTACCCTCATTTAGCCATTCACATAGCACTCTACTGTATACACAGATTAATCAGAGCTTTAGCTCACATTCATTCACCATGGGACACACATCGGAGGCAATGAGAGATTCATTGTCTTGCCCAGGGACACTTCAGCATGTGACTGCTGGTGGAATTGAATCCCCAACTCTCCCACTGAAGAACAACTGCTCTAAACACTCAGCCACAGCTGCCCCCTGCTGTTGTGTGGCTGCATCTATGTGTACGAAAGGTTCCTTTCAAAAATTGTGTTGTCATGTCAAAATCCTAGACAGCCACGTCCATAAATACATTTAAACTGGCCATCCTGATCATTTGATGAAACCATTAACCTTAGTTTTTATATTGCTTAACAGTATAGTTTCCTCAAATGACCGGTAGCCAAAGATTAATCTATGGTGGCCAAAGCAACCATTGCCCCCCCCCCCCCCCCCACTCCTCCATTGAACCTGGTGGTGGATAAAATTGCTCCCTCCACTCTCCAGGATCCGCCACTCTGCGCCGTCTCAGACAAGTTAAAAAAACAACTATATTTTTATACACACTGAGCATGCATCAAGATATTTTTATACACAGTTTAACTTGCATTCCCTGTTCAACTACAGCTTCACAGATCTGCACCCCGGCCCCCACACAGTGACACTGCAGCGCACCATTTGTTCAGTGTCATCACTCCATACGTGGTGCAGCTTCCATCTAATGTGATCTGCCTTTCTCAAAACTTTTAAAAAAGCAAATTTTACTGTGGACTCAGTTGCGATTCATTTATTTTCATAGACGTTCAGGCACCAAAAACATGTTTTATAAATTGTAAAATCCATCCATCCACTTGTTTTGAAGTCAGGGAGCAGGGGCAGCAGCTCGAGCAGGGAGGTCCAGACATTTCTCTCCACAGCCACCTCTTCCAGCTCTTCTGGGAGGACTCCAAGGTGTTCCCAGGACAACAGAGAGACATAGTCTCTCCAGTGTGTCCTTGGTCTTCCTCGGGGTCTCCACCCAGTCGGACATGCCCAAAGCACCTATAGGGAGGCGCCTGCAGGGAGCATCCTTACTAGATGCCCGAACCACCTCAACTCGTAAATTGTAAAATGTTGCATTTGTTGTTATTTTTGTGAATTTCATCATTGCTGTTTTGTTTGCTTGTCTCAAGCAGGTTTGTTCTGAACAGCAGGTCTAATCTTTGCAAGTTTATGCCCCAAAATTACTTTTAAATTCTGACAAAACTTTTTCAATGAACTATTTTTCTAACTTTTAACTAATCATTACTTCTCAAACATTACATTAGACAAAACAAACATTCAGACACAGGGCCGGAGTGGGACTCATTTTCAGCCCTGGAGTTTCAGCCTCAGAGTGGCCCACTTTAGATCACGACCTATCATTATTAAAATCATGTAATTATAAGCTTACATCAGGGGCGATTCTAAAATCTGCCCTTTAGGGGCACTTTTAGC